CTCACTCTCCCCTCTGGCAAAAGGCACTAGGACACAGATCGGTTTCTGTTGCCCTCTCTGAGCCCATCTTCTCAGCCTTTCCTCCCTCTCCTTCCCCAGCAAAGGGCCTATGCTCTGGGGAGCTGATAGACAAGAAAAGCTTGAGCCGGTAGCACTTAAAATGCCTCAGGGAGTCCACGCTGCAACACCACCACACAGAATACATGCCCTTGGAGGGAAGAAGCATGCGGGACGACATGAACCTACTTGGAATTCAAAAACATCAGACTTACTCTTGGCTCTGAGGACAAGCCCCCTCCCCATTCATCCCTGTCATCAAGACAGCTATTTTAGAGGTCACTGTGCGGAAGAACATTGCTTTAATCTCTCCTACACCCAAGCCATAAATATATCTTCTTCGGGAAGGGGGCAAGAAAAGCAATAATGCTGTCTCTTTTCTTTGCAGCAAAAAAAAAAGCAGCTTTTTATTTTTATGTAAAAGAGTTGTCAAGACACTAATATTTTTCTAGCATTAAAAGTTATTTTTTATTCTGTTTAATTGTTCATTGAGATTTCAAAACCAAATCTGCCTTCTTTGCCAAATATCTTTGTAATATGTACATTTCCCACTGGCTTATTATAATAGGTTTTCTCATGGGATTCAACCACCCCGGCATCTGCTTTGTTATGATATTATAACAATAATTAACATTTCGCACTTTTACTGTATAGCCAGCCTTTGATCCATATTTTAACAAAAAAATATAATAACAATGCTCTTTCAGAGAGCATCCTTCATCCCAGAGCCTCAAAGCCCGTGGCAGCATCATATTATAACCAGAGAGAGCTGCATTCAGTCCTGAAACCCTCCCGACACCCCATGGGGTCCAGACACAGCAGGCGGCTTCCCTGGGGGAAGGAAGGAGAAAGGTCAGTGAGCTGCCAGGCAGTTCAGAGGGTGGAAGCAAAGTCTGGATGGAAAGGAGATAGGAGAGGAGGGTTCAGCGTTTGGGGTCAGGGATCCCCATTCAGTCCGATTTGCATTTAAAGAGAATTGAGAGGCACTGAGCTTCCTGGGATGGGGATCTGGACGAATATCACAAGTCTGACTCCGTAGGAGCAGCCTGTTCCACCGACGCAGATGAGCACCAACTTCCTGCTTGGTCCACATCCGCTAGACAGGACCCAAGAGACAGGACCAGCTGAGAAGTTCCTGAAGCTCCAAAGCTGATGTTCCCTCTTCCTCCCAAGCGCAGTTGGCAACCACCAGGAGGCACTGTTTGTACTCAGGCCCAGAGCTATCCCTGTGCTCTGAGCTTCGGAGAACAGTGACCTTAACTCTCTGGCTTCTTCCTGTGGGCCCTGGCCCCTAACTCTCAGGCTTCCTTACTGACTGAAGGAGTTAAGTTCTTTCTGAGGGTAATGCATTGTGATGACAAGCCGAGAGGGGCCAGGGGTCACTCTTAAAGCCAGAAAAGGTGAGTGTTACTATTAGAGAAACATGCGCTGTCTCAGCACTCGCCGAGCACCTGGTAAACACGGAACACTGTGCCTTCTCTTTGGCCTATGAAAAGATGGGCCCGCCATGGCGTACATGATGGAACCAGCATGCTCCCCAAAGAGAAGAAACTCAGAAGGTACCTGGTGTGAGCAGAAACAAGGGCTGCAGTGTGAACATAAAGGACAGCATGAATCCAGTATGAAGGTGGTACCTCAGCAGTCAAGGTTCCCAGGCGTCACCAGGGTTCCACGGAGCTCACCCTGGGCTGAGAAGCTGAAGGTGGCAACAGCCTTATGAGACGGTGCTATCGCATCCCTTCATAGATAAATAAATGGAAGCCTGCAAGTTTGAGATTCCCCAGGGCAGGGATAAGAAAAGGCACGAAAGCAGTAAGGTACACCAGAGCTGTGGGTTTCCACAGCTTCTGATGACATGTATGCAGACTCCAAAATGCTTCAGATATGAGTGAGGGAGAGAAGGAGAAAGAGGGAAGGGAGGATTCGAGGAGGACCGGTGAGGGTAGAAGGAGAGGAGATGGGAGGAAAAGGAAGGACCGGAAGAAGACAGAAGAGGGACGGGAGGAGCAGGAAGAGAGTGGCTAATAGCACGTTTCCGTTCTAGCCACCGGCTGGCTCTCTCTCTCTCTGTCTATGCATTGCCATAATGCCAATTCCGTGAGCCCTCACTGTCGTCCCCTATTCAGGGAACAAAATTCCAAGTTAGCTCAACTAGGAGTCATCTCTAGAGAAGACACAGCTGCCTGGAACCATCTCTTGCCCCTCCCATTCTCTGTCAACAAGGACAGAGGGAAAGTGTCAGCGTGTCTGAAATGATTGTGGTGAAGTAGAAGCTGGTCCATCTCCTGTCGGTTCTTCAAGAGTTCCAACCCCACACAGCAGCAAAGACACCCCTCTACTGAAATAAGAGCAAGCATCATGGCACGGGTGTTCCCATGATGGAGGTTTCAAGCCAGTCCAGAAAGCAAACACTTGGCTCGATTTTAAAACCAACTTAACCCATCTCTGCACTTCACCGTAGGTATCTCAGTGGGGCCTTCTTTTAGTAGGTTTTTATTTCACGTGCAAATAACAGTAGCAGGGCCTGGCTGAGCAGACAGCCCAAGAGAGCACCTCTCACAGCACAACACACAGTAGGAACGGGTTTGGCTCTCCTCCCACGCCTGGAGATTGAGGATGCCCATGGCGCTGTGCGCTTCCAAAGCCACTGTTCGAGTTTTGTTTCTGTCGGTGCGATAAACACCAGGAGAAAGGGGCTCCTTGCACTTACACTTTAGGGTTACACTCCATCACTGGGGGAAGTCAGGGCAGGTACTTGAAGCAAATATCATGGGAAAAGGTTCTTTGAAGGCTCCCTTCCAGCTTAGCTAGCTTTTTCTATACAGCCCAAGACCACCTGCCCAGGGAATGGTGCTATCCACAGCGGGCTGAGCCATCCTGTGTTTATATCAATCAAAACAACCTCCCACAAACACACCAACAAATCAGTCTGTACCCCCTCTCAGGTGACTCTAAGGCTGTGTTGCACTGGGGGATGTAACAGTCACCATCCCACACACAGCCCTGGCCACTTGGCTCCGCAAATGAAAGCCCGCAGCATTGAGAAACTCAAATCCATTGTCTTTTCTTAAAAGTTGGAACAGGAGGCTAAAAGTGTATAAATATGTTAATTTACACCCTGGTGCCAACAGGAGATGCTGAGCCAAGTCTGTTTTCACTGCAAAAAGAATTCTTTTCATTTGTGTGTAAATGATTCCAATACTGCCTGTCCCCGTGGGGTGGGTCCCTAGCTCTCACCCTCCTCAGCCACATGGCCACATGGCCTGACCTCAAATACTTTTTTTTAAAACCATTGTCTTTCTAGAAAAGGAGCTAATCCAATAACAATGCTGGATCTCAAAAGCTTTACCGTAAAAGCAACAGAGGGAATCTAGGATTGTCTAAATAAGAACCACGCGCTCTCAGCACAGCTATGCCGAGAAGGCCAGTCCTAGAAACACATTGGTGATTAATTCAGTCAGAAGAAAAATAAAACCTGCTGCAAAGCCGCATGTTGGAATGGAGGTGGTGTCCTGGAACGCGGAGTCCTGTGCCATCAAACATCTGAGCTTCCTGTGTTTGAAGCTCAGATACTCATCCAGATCCTTTGGAGAGGTGTGAAAGTTCTGTCCCCTCCCCGTCAAACGCACACCAGTGACATTGGCTACATACACAGCTGGCAGTGCCTTCCCCAGAGCCTTCCAGGGCTGAGTCCCATCTTCCTGGCTGAAGAAGGGAAATGAATACATCCGGAGAATACCCAAAGCACCCACTGTCTCTCTGGCTGCTCAGACATCCTATGGGGAAATGCAAACACGTGCATGGTTCGCTCAACTTTCTGTAGTTTCAGAGGGCAAATGCTAGCCAGTGGGAGAAATGAGAGAAAACAGATGAAAGGGAATGAAATGATAAAAGCACGCGAGGCCCGGGCCTCCCTGAGGATCTGCAGGTAGCTAATGGTTTGCTGGGTAAACGGAGACATTTTCTTCAGTGGTGTCGCCACTGGTACATCACCCGTGTTCCTGCAAATAACCCCCAGCCTGGAACATGAGCCTATAAACCAACCCTAAGGGAATCACTGGGATGTGCATACAGATACACACACACACACACACACACACTCATACACACAGACTCACACAAAAATAAACCCATGAAAATTAAAGGGGTCTAGTTGGGAGGAAAGGGTTAAAGGGGGTGAGAAAGGGTGGTGGGAAATGACCTTGACTCTGCCCCAAAGCATAGCAACTCCAGTGACGCCAGAGGACACCCAGTTTTCAGCAGTCGATATCTGGGTGTATATATAGACCTCAGTATTCTGGTCATCTACATGGCTTGAGATCTGGGGACCCCAACTCCTGACATACTTCCTCAGCAGAGGGCAAGGTGGGGTGAAGGAGGAGGAGGAGGAAGCTCCCTGGCACATGACCTATTAATAAAAAAAAAAAAAAAAACCGTGCAGTGTGAGAGAGGAAAGAGCCTTAAGATATTATTTTGTGGAATGCTACTGCTTCTCTCTCCAGTTCATAGCCCTGGGGAGACTGGGGGAAAGTACAGCTTCTGATCTGAGCCATAACGAACTGGTAAAGGACACCGCTCCTGGCTATATAACGGCCGCATTAATTCACCAGCCCTGATGTTAAAGCCTCAGCAGAGGCCCTGAGGTGACAGGATGGTTATCTTAGCAACAATTAATATTCTGAAAACGTGGTTCAGAAATAGCCTCACTGCTTACTCTGGTACTGTGAGAGTAAGTTTTGTTCTTGGGCATCTTTATCAATTCTCATAAAAATGCAGTAAATGTGATATATGTGTGTGTATGATATATATATATAATTTACTACATTATATGTGTATATATACATATGTATGTCTGTTATATATGTATATATGTGCATGTATATGAGATATATGTAATTTACTACATTTATATATGTATATATACACATGTGTGTCTATGTATATATGTATATATGATATATATATCATTTACTGCATTATATATGTATGTCTATTTATGTGTGTATATATAATATATATACACACACATAGAGCAGTTCCTATTTACAAACAAGTACAGTTTCAATTTAATTTCTAATCTCCAACCTGAAAATCACATTGAAAGTAAAAAGACATTTCTATATTATTTTCTTGGCTGTGATGAAGAGATTGGGTATCTACCTGAGCTTGGCATTTCATCAGCTGGCAGACCCTTATCTGTTAATTCACCCAAAGATTATTCCCCTACCATGACACTTTTTCCTCCTCGCAGTAAGAGAAACGCCTTTCCAGTTTGAGAGTTGAGAGACAGTTGCCTGCCCACGATGCAGCTGAACTTGTGTGTGATGAGGTTTACCACACTGTTGGCCCAGTTAACAGAGTCAGTATAGACAGGGCTCCTGTGGGGCTGTTTGAACTTTATAGAACTATGGGGAAAGACATCCTGACCTGCTCAAGGGGCAGCAGGTCAACCACAGTCACGTGGTGTGATTATTCCTTAGAGACAAGGGGGTTTCCATCCCTGCCTGAGTTTAGCTGGGTTATGTTGAGAGTGGCCTACCAAAAGACGTGTTAGAGCCCCAAGTGTAGAGCTGCGCCCTTAGGAGGGTGGTGGAAATCAGTGCCTAAGTTGGGCCCCCCTTCCTGCTTCCAAACTCTGGTCAAGGTCCTATTTTAGAAGTCCCCTACGAGGATTCCGCTTTCCAGGCTACTGACAGTGGTCTCAACAATCTTCCATCAACCTGCCTTCCCTCTAGAAGGATCAATCACAGTCAAAAACAAGGTCTTTCCCTGGGGCCTCACCAGGACCCCGTGAACATCATCCAGGACAGAGTGTACGCTGCAGCAACAGGAGACCACTCGATCTCCTGTGGGCAGAAAGATCAGCATATGTAACAAAACCAGTTTCGAAACTTAAAATCAAACCCGAGGTCTGTCATGATAACCAAGTTATTCTATGCTGCTTATTCTAAGATGAGAAGTCCATGGTTTTGGTTAAAATCTCAGGAGATGGTATGTCTTTCAAGGAGCCATGCATATAGTCAGCATGGAACCTTCTAGGTTTTAGTCCCAGGGTACTCTTCCGCACAGCTGGATGGACGGAGCACTAGCTTTCTCTCTGGCTCATCCAGTTTGGCACAGTGGGTATTCTGTCTTTAAAATTCTGGATTTTGCATTAAATTAATTGACTCCGGCAGTTGACTGATGTGGGAGGTAGTGCATCCTGTGAATATGTCTTATTGCCATTGGTTAATAAAGAAGCCGCTTTGGGCCAATAGCTTAACAGAGTAAAGCCAGGCTGAAAGAGATATAGAGTAGGCAGAGTCAGGGAGAAGTCATGTAGCCCCAGAGACAGATGCTGGACCCAATAGGCCATAGTCACATGGTGATGCACAGATTAATGGAGATGGGTTAGTTTAGGATTTAAGAGCTACCAAAAAATGTGCTTAAGCTATTGACCAAACAGTATCACAAATAATATAGTTTCTGTGTGGTTATTTCTGGGCTGGGCATCCAGGAATGAATGAGCAGCCTCCAACAACAGTTGACATGACAATTTTTCTTTAAAAAAAAAAATCATTAAACTGTCTTAAAAGAAAAACAACTTCATTTGATGAATGTAATCAAAGTGTCAATTAAAGCACAAATGTGAACACATGCTCTTGCTACAACGCCAGCCCACAGGGAACTGTTTCAGAGCGCACCAACCAATACAACAAACAACACCTTGACTAAGAAAGTCTCATCAGATACACACAGCGTACCTGGGCAGAGTGCTGCACCTGAGTCCTGTAAGCCACGACACAGGAAACTGCTTAAAATTAATAAGTAAGTGAAAGCAAACTCCTCGCAGCTCCTAAGATAATCGCAGAGGAAAGCAGAGCAAAAGCACAGGTTTCGTCCTACGGAAATCCTGAACGGAGCAGGCGCTAAGGCCTACTCTTTCTTTACTTGATGCTCAGTCGTAGTACAGGAAGGGAAAACAGAATCATGAGATGACGCCGGCGGCAACCGGTTTCAGGTACCATCTGTATATATTCCTGGCACTATTAATTTGCAATTAACAAGGGCCTTATGTTTTATCCCCTGCAACTCCCTGTCTTGAAGTGTGAGGGAGGGAGCTTAGCGAAAAGGAACATGCAGGTGGTTGGCGAGCCTGCTCAACAACAAATAATAGTGAATCACTGGTATGTAAGCTGCTCTCTCCAGCTAATAAAAGGTCATCTGTGGATGGGGGATGGAATTTTCCGTTATGCTAAGACGTGAAACAACCCTTCATAGTGGAGTCGAATATCATAGAGGTAGATGATACACAGTCCCACTTGGGTCGGGGGACGCCCTTTGCTATACCAGACACAAGCCCTGAGAAAAGTCTTGTTGAGTATCCAAGCTCCTCCCCTCCCAGAATAGGCAGAGAGGACCCAGATCTTCTGGGAGTGCAGAAAGAGAGGAGTGAGGCTAGAACTTCAGTCACCCCTGGCTTCTGAGTCCCAGTCTGTCATTGGTCAGTTGTGGGACCCTAGACCAGCTGCTTAACCTCCCAGTAGGTCCATTCCCTTGTGCATCTAATCATATAAATGTTCACTTTGAGGATTTACTAGAAAGATCAAGAGGGGTCTGACACAGAGGTGGAGCAAAACTGTGAGTCACTGCGTCATCATGCTTGCATGGCAAGCATTTTATCATCTTAAGCCGTCTTCCAGATCCTGGGATTGCACATACCAAGAGAATAAAATGTTGAATCACATCAATCTGGGACCTAGAAGTAAGCAGAGGATGGAAACTGATCATTTTTTTGTATGACATTGGTTATACATGAGCATCACAAGCCTGAGAGAGTTGATTGGGTGTGAAAGCCAAACAATTCATCGTGGGCTAGAAAATCATAGCCTACTGTGACTCAAGAAAACAGAGACCCCCTTCAAGGCAAACCCGGAGCTAAGTAATACATACAGCTTAGTAGTGGAGGACCTGCTTAGCATGTGGAAGGTTCTGGGAACTGCCCCCAGCACTGAAGAATAATAAAATAATTGTATCATGTTCTGAACAAGCTGAGAAGCTCTGTCCTTTGGGCGTAGATGTAGCTCAGTGGTAGAGTACTTCTGGGGCACGCACAGAGCTCCAAGTTCAATCCTCCCCACTGTGATGGTTTAGATGAGACAGGCCCCAGTAGACTCATACATTTGCTGGCTGAGGCCCCAGGTGGTGAACTGTTTGAGAAGGGTTAGAAGGCGTGGTCTTGTTGGAGGAAGTACGTCACTGTGGGTGGGCTTTGAGGTTTCTAAAGCTCATGCCAGGCCAGGTGGTCTTCTGCCTGCTGCCGTATGGGTCAGGATGTAAAACTCTCCATCACTGTCCCAGTACCATGCTTGCCTGTATGTGGCCATCCCTTCCACATGATAATGGACTAACCCTCTGAAACTATAGGAAAGCCCCTAATTAAATATTTTGTCTTACAAGAGTTGCCTTGGTCATGGTGTCTCTTCACAGCAATAGAAACCTAAGAAACCCATCCAAAAAAGAGAGAGACCAAAAAAATCAGAAAATATATATATTGGACTTTCTGTACCATCCCTCAACTCAATCTCACCACTTCGAAAAAGAGTATTTCACAGTTGATCGAGATGGGACACAATTCTCTAGAACTTCCAACCACTCACTTCTGGGCCAAGACTTGGAGCCACGACTCATCCCAAGTGAACGAGGCCCTATTCTGTGGACACAAAGTCTCCACACCCCAGATGTCAATCAATTCCTGCTTAATGACCTGAGACTCTGCACTGGCACATATCCGAGCAAAAGATTCGAGTTCTGTAAAAGCTGTGAGGAAGACAGGAGAGGCAATGGGTGTGTGTGTGTGTGTGTGTGTCTGTATCTGTGTGTTATGTGTTTCATATCCATGGGGATCCTATGAGTCTCTATGGACTCACGGGAGAATTTTATGTTTTACAATGAAGTCAACTGAATTCAAGATGTGTTGATGTATCATCTACTCTCTACAAGAAGATTCTAGGAGAAAATGTGGGAGGGGACTGATAGGTAGAAATGTAGTGAGCTATAAAGAAAGAAGATGGGAAAATGTCAGTGAAACAATCCTTGAACAAGAAATGCTAAACACTAGAGGATGCAGAAGGTCTGACTGCAGGTGATGGACACAAGATGTTGTGAAAGGAGATAAAAGTCATTGCTTTTCCAGTTCTAACTCTGTCATGGTTTTTTGTTGTTGTTTTGGTGGTGGGTAAGCACATTTGATAGTGAATGTGAAGCTGACTTTGGGAGGGTTATTCTACCTGTACAGAAGTTTACCGGGATATATAGTCTTTGGGTCTGGTTAATTTCGGCGTGTACTGCTTTTTAGTTGCAAGTTTTTTATAATAAAGTTTATAATAAAGAAAGAAAGTGATTCTTTCTACCAAGCTTTCTTTGTTGTGATAATCTACCACAGTAACCATTACACATGATCAATATGAGGGAGATAAAACGTAACGAGACCTTCCACAGAGGGATAGAGGGAGAACTCAATAGTTCTCACTAGAAAGAGCTGGAGGGTTCCAGGGAGAGCATCACACGAATATGGCCTCTGCTGCTTGATGTCTTTAAAACCTGTGGCTACTAGCTCATGACTGCAAGCATCGACATTTTCAGATGAATCATTAACTGACCCAGGACTTTTGAATGAGATTATCTCAACAACGATACACTGAGATCCCTGTCTCCAGAGCCTTCGATTTGCCTGTATTTGGAAACAACGTCTACAGAGGTGGTACAGTTAAAATAAATGATCCAGAGTGGGTCTGGATGGAGTGACATTTCAATTGTATTTTAATAAACAAAGACTGCCTGAAGATCTGAGAGTAAAACAGCCCCACTGGTCAGCCTTACAGACCAGACTATGGTAACTGACACACACCTGTAATCTCAGCAGCCACACTAGTTGCCATAGAAACTGGGCCCTGCGTGCCTTTAATGATGATGCTGCATTCCTTTAATCCCAGCCCTAGAGAAAATTATAAAATGGGAGGAACCATCTCTCAGGCACACAGTCTCATTCCGAGAGATTCTGGGAGGCAGGATCGCCATTTCCATCTGAGGTCAGAGCTAGTGGCTGGCTGTTTTACTTTTCAGATCTTCAGTTGAACCCCAGTTTCTGACCCTGAGTTTTTATTAATATGCTTCATCTGAAGAGGAGATAACCCGTGTCCTTGCATTAGTCTGGTGCTCTAGAGGATCACAACCCACATAATGAATCTATGTGAAATGGGGATTTATTACATTGCTTGCACGACATGAGCTGGGCAGTCCAACAGTGGCTGTCTTCATACTGGAAAGGCTGAGAACCCAATTCAGTCTATTGGGCTGGATGCCTTAGCACTCCCAAGTTGATGCTGAAAGCTTAGAAGGATATTCGGGGAGCCACTGGTCTTCAGTTCATACTGAAAGGCAATGAGGCTAAATAAATAAATAAAAGAGGTGAGTTTTTTCCCTCTGACTTCCTTCTATTTGGACTGCTTGAAGGGCTACTCATTCTCAGGATGGGTCCTTCCACTTCAAATAATCTGGTTAAGAAAATGCCTCCCCGGTCTACCCAGGTATCCTTTCCAGATCCCATCAAATTAAACCAAGTTTAATCGCAGTTCTCATGGAAGGGAAATCGGATTGCAGGGACAGAGCTGCACAGGGGGATGCTGGTGGGTGAAGCAGGAAACCCTCATGGAGATGAAGGCACAGAAGGAGGTGATGCCTACAGTCAACAACCACCAGAGACAGCCAAGATGCCACCAGAAGCCAGGGGACAGGTTGCAACTGGTTCCTCCTTGGATTCTTTGGAAAGAAACAAGGTCACTAATCCTTGACCTCTGACTTCTAAACTCCATTCTGCTGCATAGGTGACCCAATCTGTGGTCCATGCGATGACAGAACTAGCCAACTAACACAAGAGGTTTGCATTCTGGAAATCCATCCTCCTGCATCTAAAGCCCAGATCAGTGTGCTCTGAAATCATGTGAGGGGCAGCATCTAGAGCTTTCCCAGGCTCTGCACAGCTCTTGGGATTATTATCTCTAGCACTGCCTTTTAAAGTCCTAAATTTCCCCTTTGGTTATGGAGTTTTGCTCTGTATTTTGTTTTTGCATATTGCAACCAAATATTGTGTTGAAATCTGTCTCATTTCATCTGTCGTGCCTTCCTTAGCTCTTTTAACAAGTTGATTGACAGTCCTTCGATGTCCTGGTCTCCTAACTTCATCCATTTCTTTCTGCCAACTGCTTATTTAAATATTGAGTTTTGACCCTTTCTCCTGTTATTTTGTTTTATTGTCGTTACGGTGTGTCTGTGCGTGCACACGCACATATATGCACACGTGCCTAGGAATTGGTTTGTGTGTACAATGATAGTCCACACAAGTCTGAATGAAACCCCTTCCTAGAGGGTAGAGTTTTGTTCTAATGGACTATCAACCACAAGCCCAGCAAGTCTGTTTCTACCTGGGCTTACATCCTGGAGTTTACCCCTTAATCCCACAACCATCCTTTCTGGCACTTCATATAAATATCTGGGCATATTCGGGCAAGTCTTATCCACAAACTGAAGATATCATCTTTCTTGCACATCTATGATCAATTTTATTGAACAGAAAGATTTATTTAAACACAGGAAACCAAGGTCTATATGTCTATTCCTTTGCCTTTCAAGAACTTGCTTCTTCCAGATACACACAACCTTCTGTGCATCTATACTCTAAGCTTTCATAGTCATGGCCCTAAAATCTATTATGATTATGCTTTTAGTGACCAAATTGGATGAGCATTACCTCCTGGAAGACCTAAGAATGCATACCAGGCTGTTCCTCAATTTCTGGAAAGTAAGAGCAACAATTCCTACCTTGGAATAGAGCTCGAAGAATGAATACAAGACACCCCAGTGTCTGCCACAGACCCTCTCTTCCCCCCCAAAAATCTCAGAAGGCAACATAAAAGACACCCCCATTGAGTCAAACCTGTCATCTCTCCCAAGTCCCGCAGGCTGCTCTGAATTCAAACTTAAGTCTATATATCTCAGCATTATCGTATTGTGAATGCCAGGACCCCGTCTCCCAGCTGGCCTCAAAGTGTTGAGAAGCAACTGTGAACAGACAAAGCTGTCACCTGAAAACCCCACCCACGGAGTGAACTTGTTCTATACTTTCAGTTACCAGAAAGTGAGCGACCTGTGGAACCAGAGAAGGGGACACTTTGCCTCTACACACACACACACACACACATACACACACACACACACACTCAGACATCGACCTGTACTGTGGCCCTCTGGAAAACGGGACTGAGCATAGAGGGCTGGAGGGACATATTCTTCGTTCTCAGATCGATGTTGATATAAACAGTTTCTGCAGAGTGACTGCAAACCCAAGAATATTAAACATCCCCTCTGGGAGGCTGCATTCGGAACAGGCTCTGAATTTGACGTAAATGAAACTAAATAGCATTGTTTTTCATCAAGATACAGGGCCAAATAGTTGTTTCAGAATTTGTGCAAGCTTTGAATTAGTTCTGAAAGACACAAATTGAAAAATATGAGATCCAACAGCTCAGCAGTTACTGAGTGTCTGCTTTACTCTTAATTCTAGGGAGTCAAAAGGATGAATCTGATCCAATTTCAAGGTGGCCCTAAAGAGTAAGGACAATGATACTGTGTAAGGAGCCGGTCAGCAAGGGGCCCACGCGCTTCTCCGCTCCCACGTTCCTGTCACCCTGAGACGCACAT